ATGCATCTTCAGATCCACTCAAAAACTATGTATAACATAATCAATTGATAATGCAAAGCCAATTTTCAAAAACACAAAAAATACCCAAAAAATATATTCCAATTTTATAATATTATGCAGTGCGCTACATACAAAAAGTATGTTACATTGTCATATCGACATATCGCCATACAAAACATATGTCACTGTCCAAATCTATTGGCGATTCATTCGACAACACACACTCCTAAAATGTAGAACAAATTTGACATTCCTTCATGGAGAAATTAAATATATTATTTCATGCATCCATTATATTTTCCACAATCACACCAGGTTTGACAACTTTACCATATTCACCTTTGACTTGTTTCGTGTCAACCGTATGTTTTACTCTACTTCTCATATTTTTGGTTATGTGATACTTATAAAGTAATGCGGAAGAAGTAGGAAACAATGTTGCAATCGAATTCATCAGTATGGTATCGTGATCAGTGATTATGACTTGTGGCATGTTTTCTTGGCCATTCAACATAACCTTGCACATTTCAAAAAATCATGTAACATTGTCCTCTTTTTTTTCCTTTCACATTCCAAATATGAAAAACCGACTGAATAAGTCATCTCCGTAGAAGTGACAACAATAATTTCTAAAAGTGGAAGTTTATATTGTTTGTTTTGTATGATGAGTCAATTATGAGTATGGAGGAAAAGGTTTTTCATGGAATCAGGATGAACCCAAAATATATCCTGAACTGTGAATTTATCATCACAAACTCTGTACCTCGAAACATAGTCGTCATCTTCCAAAACCTTCAACAGTTGTTGCATCTCATATTTTGGTCCTCTTACCGCATTGTTGTCTCGAGCACGCACGTTGTATATTTGTTTGATATTTGAAACATTTATAGGTATTTTCTGTTTCAAATACGTGAGTATCTTTTTTGACGCCACCATGTTTAATGTCATGTCCAAAACAAATTCACTCTTCTTCGGAACAAGGTGAGATACAATGGGATGACCAACTAACTTGTCAATCAAGGCATGATTATGCATACTAGAAATGGAATTAAATTTCCACGCCTCATCCGCCATACGGTATCTGCACAATTTAAATAGACACTCACATTTCCTCAATCTCGTGTCATCTCGTTTCAACTTCCTAATCATTGGTTTATACATGTCACTTCTTTCGCATACGATTGTTACAAATACTTGTCTTCGATCTAAATCATTGTCGAACCTTCTGCTTACAACACCAAATCACAATTTTTGGCCTCCCTACGAACCCATTGTAGCATATATTTCATGAATAATAAACACTTCTTTATTTATAAATTGTGCACGAATATCTACCTCGACAACAATCGATCAAGCACCCGGTTTAACATCATCATCTGATTTAACATCGCCATTTACTTCATCCCGTTTAACATCATGCTTCACTTCGACCAATTTAACATTCACACTCATAATAGTATTGAGAAACATATTCAGGTGCACCATATCGATTAGCACTAATAACAGAAAAAACAGCGTGAAAACTCAAACTATCAGAACAATTCGGAGATGCACGTCCGGATCACACCAAACTTTGTCCGGAGTTGCATCTTCGGAATCAACGTTCATTTTTCAACTTAAACACAATATTAATGCAAATAGTGAGGGACCAAATGAATGATATTTACCTGCAATTCCAGTTTTTTTTGCTCCCTTTGAAGTGGTGAAATATAAGAATTATGTTTTGGTGTTGAAAAATTGATTGAGAATGAGATAATTTTTTTTAAGAGTTTTGGAATGGTTTCTTGTTTTAGCATGAAGATGAAGATCATGCAAGGTGATATTTTATCAATTTTCCCGCTGGACATTTTCAGAGATGCATCTCCAAAAATATCACTGACTTGTTATTTTAATTAGTTGATTTAGTAAGAAAACCACATAAATGAGTGCAGGGATTATTTCGGAGATGCATCTCTAGATACATTAAACAGTATACGAAGATGCATCTCCGAACATTATTTTTTTAAATCTGAATGAAACTCAGAAAAGAGATCGTTGACGTGACTTTGAATACGTGTGAAGATACATATACGAACACATGAAGAATAACTTCGAATTTTCAAAAACGTGATATACACATAAGAATGAAAAGAGCATTTCCCTTTCTGTAATTGATTAAACTTGGGCCAAATTCAAAATATTTAGAAAGATAACGACTATAACTTTTAAACGTTTGTCTTTTATCCTCAATGTTATAAATTTAATTTTATTATATCTTTTTCTATTGTTTATAAATCGTTCATACTATCTTGTTAGGAAACATCATATTTATGGATGAAGTATAAGTTCTTGAATATTGTATCGGAATTTGTTATATTTATTCTTGTAATGATGTACATATATATATAAGAGTACAAGGATCTGTATACTAATTGCCTATAATTGTCTAGTCTATAATTGCCTATAATAGAAATCCTATTTTAATTACAATTATGATACTATTTCCTGATATACTATGATACTATTTTAAATACATGTTTGCTTGAGTTTGACCTTCTTGAATGTCTTGATATTTGCTTTGACCTTCTTTAATGTGAATAATATGTGCTTATCTTTAACGATAGATTGTTGGAAATCTTTCATACTTCTTAGGTATCGAAGTATCCCGTTCTAAAAAGGGAATATTCTTATGCCAAAGGAAATATACACTTGACATTTTATCCGACTCTGGTATGACTGGTTGCCGACCATCAGATTTTCCTATGGAGCAACACCTCCGTCTACGGTCCAATGAAGGAAGCCCTCTTCCTGATCCGACAATCTATCATCGCCTCATTGGTCATCTATTATATTTAACAGTGACACGGCCCGACATCCAATACGCTGTTAACACTCTCAGTCAATTCATGCAATCTCCATGTACAACTCATCTCGATGCGGCCACACGAGTTCTCCGATATCTTAAAGGGAATGTCGGCAAAGGCTTATTTCTTTCGGCTTCTAGCTCCCTCAATTTAGTTGGATATGCCGACTCTGATTGGGCTGGTTGTCCTACTACTCGTCGCTCCACTACCGGCTATTTTACCATGTTGGGCTCTAATCCTATATCATGGAAAACCAAGAAGCAACCAACAATTTCTCGTTCCTCTGCTGAAGCAGAATATCGTTCTCTTGCAACTTTATCTTCCGAGTTACAATGGTTAAAATATCTTCTCTCGGATCTCGGCATTGATCATCCTCAACCGATCACCGTTCATTATGATAGTCAAGCTGCTATTCACATCGTCGAAAACCCAGTTTTTCATGAACGCACAAAACACATTGAAATTGATTGTCATTTCGTTCGTGAGAAAATTAAATCAGGTCTTATAAGCCCTTCTTATCTCCGATCTTTTGACCAACTAGCTGACATATTTACTAAACCTCTTGGAGGCGATACTTATAAACGACTACTCGGCAAGTTGGGTGTTCTTGAGATTTCAATCCCACCTCCAACTTGAAGGGGGGGGGGGTGTTAAGGATAAGCACATATTATTCACATTAAAGAAGGTCAAAGCAAATATCAAGACATTCAAGAAGGTCAAACCCAAGCAAACATGTATTTAAAATAGTATCATAGTATATCAGGAAATAGTATCATAATTGTATTTAAAATAGGATTTCTATTATAGGCAATTATAGACTAGACAATTATAGGCAATTAGTATACATATCCTTGTACTCTTATATATATATATATATATATATATATATATATATAAGAGTACAAGGATCTGTATACTAATTGCCTATAATTGTCTAGTCTATAATTGCCTATAATAAAAATCCTATTTTAAATACAATTATGATACTATTTCCTGATATACTATGATACTATTTTAAATACATGTTTGCTTGGGTTTGACCTTCTTGAATGTCTTGATATGTGCTTTGACCTTTTTTAATGTGAATAATATGTGCTTATCCTTAACATGAAGAATATTGAAAAAGTTTAAATATTTTTAGTTTGATAAGTGTGAAATGATATAAATGAGAAAAATAAAATACTAATGATTATTTCATATTTCTTTATAGATATTCACAAACTAATATCTAACTACTAATGTCTTAGTACTAACTATATCTCAAGTAGTCTTCTACAAATTGAAGTTGAAAGTTGTGCATAACACTTTCAATTTGAGATGACCAATCAAATAAAATGTACTCTCAATTAGAAATGCTCGAAAAAACAAGTTAAAATCAAAGCTACAAGAAAAAATATTTAATCAAAATATAGCCAAAATTATAATATGCAATCTTTCATATAGCAAAATCAGACAATAATATTACATAACCACCACAAGACAAAAGTAGAAAATCACAAGTCAATCAAAGCCTATAACTTATCAATCATGATAACTTAATTAATCAAAATAGAAGCAAAAGTTATAATATAATATGCAATCTTCCATATGGCCAAATCAAATTGTTTAATCACCATAGATAGAAAAGCTCACATCAAAATCAATAAAAACTATTCATTAGTCCGTCCGTTTTAAAATGAATATCGTCTAAGATTTTTACACACAAATTAAATAATATAATAATATTATCATAAAACATTTTTTATTAAATTAGTCTTCTTAATATTTTAGAAATAGTGTAAAGTATAATAATTAAATGACACTATTAAAAAAGTAATAATTATTTTTATATTGAAAAGTGAAAACAACATTCATTTTAAAATAAATTTTAATAGTTAAAACAATATTCATTTTAAAACAGAAATAATACTATACTACAAAGAAACAAATTGACATATGATTTAAACAAAAGTAAATTATTTAATATATTTGAATAAAATTGTAGTCTCTGTTAATTCAAGTTGATGTTATACAATCATACTTATAATAAACCATCCAAAAATAATTATAAAAAGAAGGCTAAGGCAAAAAATAGGAATTCAATGCATAAAAATCCTTAAAAAACAAAAAGATAAAAAGTTGCAAATACTATTTAAGAGAGCTCTCCATTAAATAGATTCATTTGTTTGCACCATCGTTACTCTTCAAAGCATCAATATTCTCTTGTATTTTTGTCTTCATTTGCTGACCAGCCTATAATAATAAACAATTTTTTGATTATGAATAAGGTTGTGGTATAGAATCTAAAATGTGATAGTCTCACATTAAATGTGATATAATAATATGTCTATATTTTATAAGTATGAAACATAAATCATTAAAACTAAATTCTTTAGGTCAAGTTTCAAACCTCTTGGCAAGATTCTTTAGCAGATTGTGCAACATTGCTTGCCTTGTCCATCATGTTGTTTCCTTTCTCCTAAACCAGCAATAATTTCATATCAAACTATCATGCTACAATTATTTAAAAATAAATATACAAAAAATTAAAAGGGCATGATTGTATCCAATACATGTTGGCACTAATAACTCACCTGAGCTTGTCCTGCTGCTTGGCCAGCTTGATGGCTTATATTCTCTGATTGATTCATCTTTGATATTTCTTTTAGGGTTTTGAAAAAATGAAGTTAATTCAACAATTGATACTTTGTTTAGTGAATGTAATTCATAATTGTGATGTGAGGTTCATATATATAGTGTTTCATATTTATGAGATGACTAACACTTGTAGTTATTTTCACCACTAATTAAAGATGCTTTAATTTGTGCCTAAGACTAGGAAATTTGATAAATTTTTGTTTATGAAATTGACTATTGTTAAAATCATCTTTCTAAATGTAGAAAGTATCTTATTATCTAGTCTTTTTCACCACAATTTAACAATGAATGTTTCCAATCATCAAAGAGTTTGTTGTACACACAAGATGAATTCTCTCCTCTTAACCAAATTGTCTCCATATACAAGAATAATGATATGCATCCCTAACCACTACTTAAGATGTTTAAAATAATTAATAATCAAAATCAATAAGATATTTGTTAAAAAATTGATATTGGATAATAGTTTGTAGCATATTCCTAAGCCTCCTGTAATATATAAATAAGTTATGCTTATCACATTTGTGATGTGCATATTTCTTTAGTTAACCCTCCAAATTTCAAGGGAAGGGCATTGGTAACTATAATTTGATTGAGAGGTAAGTAAAATCTAGCCATAAAATTGTTCCTTCTAAGATTTGAATTTGGTTTCTCCTAAACGATTCACCCTTAGATGAAAATCATTAACCACTTAAATTTAATCACTTGTTTATTATGTTTGTTATATTTCTTTTCACAGTAGAAGGTAGAAAGGATGATATTTTAGAAAATGTTACATTTTAAACCAAAAGGTTCACAAATGAATAACTATTACTACCAATTAGTCACAAATTAATTATCAACTTTAAGAATATATTAAATTTATATTCTATTATTTTTTCTAACCATAAAATATCAATTGAATTTTATTATTGAGTAATATCCATCTAGCGATGACTAACCTATATAAAAAACCTAGTTACACAAAAAGTTTATTCTATTATTCAAATCAAATTATGTTTATGTATTAGTAAGAAATGCATGTTATCACACGAGTTCCATCTAGATTTACATCATATGTCTACTAAATTATTATTTGTAAAGTTTGAATTCATTCTTCAATTGGTTAACATTAACATAATTACAAATATATACTAATAATATACACCAACTTTTAAATATTGATTCGTAGTTACAATAAATTGTACAACTGATTCTCTAACTTCAATTATATAAAACAATAACAAAAGAAATATTTAAAAGATGAACATTAAAATGAACAATCTACAGTCTACAACTGATATTTCATAGATACACTTACATCTACCTGTGAATCCAGATGAGTTAACAAAACTCAGTTGAATTCATGAGTTAATTTTAAAAATACATATTTGCATAAAATTATTTTTCCAATTCAAATAACATTACTTTTTAGATATTAGTCAAATTTTCCAAACCTAAAATTTATGACAGTTTTCTCGTCAAATATCAGTTTTAAATCCTTATTATATTATATTTATAATTTTTACAAACCTACAATATATGACAGTTCTTCGTCAAATTTCAGTTCTAAATGAATATCTACACTCCATGGTATCATGAAATTAGTTATGTCGTTGAAATGAGTATAAAACATTGTGAGAGGTTCAACATTACACTACTCAGTAAATGGTTATGTAAAATTTTGTATGATCAAAGACTATCGTGGCTAGACTTGTTAAATTTCAAGTATGAAGCTATACAACTAAAGGTCCTCAATCATTTGCCTCATTCACTTTGCAAGAGAGATTCTATTTAGTCGAAAGACTTATTAACCATTGGAAGATTTGCTCAATCTGATGTGAATTAGTTTTCTAAAGAAATTAAGTTTAAAGTGGTCAATGGTTCGAGAGTTGGGTGTTAGATCAAAATGGATAGGAACAACTCCTTTGTCTACATAGTTCCTTTCCATTTACCAAATTATTGAGTTATCTAATGCAAAAATATCAAACACACTCAATGGCATTTTTCCATTAGAGTGTGTAAAGTCAATTTGGACACTACAGAAGAAAATCAATTAGTTGACTTGCTAGGAATCTTATTCCCTACTCATCTTGAAGTCGATAGTGAGGATTCTTATGTGTGATGGAAAGGAAGTGTTGGTTTTTAGTTGTGAAAAATGCATATGAGATTCTATCAGATACTTTTAGATAAGACCCACCTTTGGAATCTGCTTGTTCAACAGGATTAGATAAGATTTAGAAATCTAAAATACCAATTAATATCAAAGTTTCTGTTGTACATTGTTGTTAGATCGTTTGTCAACAAATAAGGGTTTACCATGGAACATGAATCCTGCAGATAAAACCGTGTAAGATGTAAATCTCATTTACAAAACAATATTATAAACCTTCAAATAAAAAAGATTTAAAGAGGAATATATGAAAATTTGCAAGACCTTTAAGTTGTAGCAAAATATATATATGTATCAATGTCCAACGTTTTAGACATTAGAGGTATCGATGACATCAAAAAATCCAGGGAGCCAAAATAAGGAAATGCAGTTGTGCACCGACACGAAACTCCAACGATCCATACACATTACATTCATTCAAACATGAGATGATATATAAATAAAATTGCAGTTTGTTAAAGAAGGAAAATAATACCAAAAGAAATAATATAGTTTATTAGTTTAATTGATCTGAAAGTTGACCATTAAATAAAATAGTCTTAGAACCACTTGCATCTGCACCACCAGATGCATCTGTGTCAAATTTTAAATCCCAAACTGAACATGATCACATTTTGAACCTCAAGTATCATATGCTGTAGCATATTATTAGATCCAACATTCTTCAGATATCAATGCTGAAACTACAACTGCAAATGAAAGTTCTCAAGCAGAAGTGATAAATGGGAATAGCAAACTCGATAAAAGATGAAAACCTCAAGTCTATTATGAGCATTGAAATGAAAGACAACTTTGAAAACATCATCCCTCTGCAAGTCAAAATAAATTAACCAAATGTCAATAAAAAAGTCAAAATTCATTGTTAATACATGAGTGTAAGCATATGTATGAGAAATTCATTATTAACCAAATAATTGTAGAAAGTTGAAACGCTCTATAGAAAAAGACTTAATGAAACCTTTGGTATAGATAAGAATGCAAAGATATTTAGTAGTAGAAACCAAACCTTGAAAATAGAAAGAATCTAAAATCATGTATTCTTTTATTTCTCGAGCAAGATAGTCCTTCACAAATGCTTCCACCATCATCGTTAGATTCTCCGTCACCAATAACTTCCATTCAACCTCATCAATTAAATCTCCATTTCAACAATCACTAAGCATACCAAATTGCCAATTAGTCCTCTTCATTAGGAAATCCAATTTAAGGAATGACATTAAACAACTTTTCCATTGCTTTTCCATACAGAACCAACTTCAATGAAGGAAAAGCTTGAAAAGAACCAACTTCATTAGTTTGAAGATTAGCATCATATTTGATTTTTCAAATGTCAAAAATAAATATTTATATTTGTGAAAATCATAAATAACATGTGAGAGTAAACAATCAATAGAACACGTAAGAGTAACTTAGCAGCAACAAGAGTTCCTCTTTCATTTTTCTAGAATAAATCGAAATCACATCTTAGCAAGAAAAATAAGAAGCCAACATAAACCAAAACGAAATAATTGAAGGGACAAATGATACCGCGAGGAAACTCAGTGTGCGGCTTGTGAGAGTGGCAGATCTAAAGATGGAGGTCTATGGTGGTTGTTGTGCGATTTCGTGGAGGTTCATCAATTGCAACGACATCGAACAATAGATTGAAATTTGGGAAATTATGTGATGATAAGAAACTAGGGTTTAGTTGATGCATATCAACATGCATGGAAGGATATTAATATGATTTACCGAAATCAATTGATTCATTCTTAGAAAAGGGTGGCTTGCAATGCCAGTTCCAAGAATAATATATTTTGGTTGCCTTTTCAATTTCTCGTTCCAATATAAATGCAATGTATCATTGATTATATTAATAATAAAATAAAAATAATATAAAATTCAACAAAATTTATAATTCTACCACATCAGCAACATTTAATATCAAATCGATCTAAATTAAATATTGTACAAAAAGTCATAATTACCCCTTATAATTAGATAAATTAAGGTATTTAATTAGAGAATTAATTGTGTAATTTCTAAATACTTTTATTTTTGTAGATAGATATAGAGTAGAGTATATAATTAAATAAGTCTAGTATACATCCTTTATAATATGGGTGGTCTGGGTTTCAATTCCTTCAAATAGATTAATGAGTATCCTCCATTAAACACGGTTGGAAGTTCATTAATTCCTATAACCAATGGAATAACTATGTAAGATCTAGGGACCATGAACAAGTATCATATTAAATATAATTTGGATTTAACTATTTGATGACATTAAGAAAATGTATTTAAAAATTGATAACAATATTTGGTTGTTTGGAAATGGGGCAACATCAAGATTTTGACCTATTTTTTGGAATGAGGATCCTTTAACTTGGAAATCTCAATATTCTCATTCATATTCACCGTTTCTTGCATGCTAAAATGAAATACTTTATTTATAGAAATTATTAGGTTTTACCTTCATCAATTACTTAAGTTTATCTCTCTACTGTTCTCGCAGCGAGAAAAAATTGAGATTAAATAATTGATTAATTTAACTTGAAAAAAAACAAAAGTCGTCACTGAACTTTATTGTTTTTAAAGGAAAGAGAAAATATCGATAAAACCCAACATGAAAATAAAACAAAAGAGAGATCTGTATATATGAGTTGGTTATGCAAAGATAATATATTAACACCCCTCACATCTATGGTACTCCATAGGAACCTCCTAAAAATCCGTTTTATGATAAAATTGGGTTGTTTGTAAAAAGATTGACATGATGAGAAAATAAGTATTTTATTATTTTTGTGCTCGCCAAGACTTCAAGAGTCGTGTGCCTATGTATCCTCCATGTGCAATGAAGCAGTTAGAGCCTCGTAGTTTGTGGTAAAAATAACCATGAAGGTTTGTTGATTGATTTTAAATTGAAAATACATTTTATCGTATTCGAGTAAAAAACACAACTTACTATCCACAAGTATGAGAAAGTGAGCATTTGCATCATCTTGGTATAGAGAACTTTTACTTGGACTTTTTCACAAACACCTCTCAACATTCAAGTGGAAAAGGTCTATCACTTCACAACATATTGTAGAAGTATAGTGGCTTACATCACTACTAGAATAGACTAATATCCAATCTTTTAAAAAAAAGTTTAAAATAAAAGTGTGTGAGTACAACTTCAGTCGTTAGATATTTTGCATGATATCAAGTCTAGGTAAAGCTAGCATTTCTATATTGGACGGTATCTCTATGTCTTGCGGCACTCCTTTGTATTAGGGGTCTTAGGAACCATTAAAAAACATTTTGAAATTGATCCAAGTCATAAAAAATAAGTTTGTGCATAAATTTTCACTACATGTGTCGACACATACGATTTTCAGGTTGGCACATTCAACTCGATTTTGAAGACTATAGCCTCTAGAAGACTTAGGTCGACACATATAAATTTCAAATTGACACATTTACTATTGTTTTAAAGTCTGTATTTTAGATTTAATTTATTAACTTTAAGAATTTTAAGTTAGTAATTTTATAATTTTCATTTAGTTTTAATTATTAACTTTAAATTTTTTTATTTAGTTTAGTTAGAAACTTTAGAATTTTATTTTGTTTTAGTATTATTTTAGTAACTTTAGGATTTTATTTCATTTAGATTTGACTTAGTAATTTTAGAATTTTATTTGCTTTAGTTTGGACTTAGTAAACTTTAGAATTTTATTTTGTTTTAGTTTTATTTTAGTAATTTTAGGATTTTATTTGTTTTAGTTTTGACTTAGTAAACTTTAGAATTTTATTTTGTTTTAGTTTTATTTTAGTAACTTTAGGGTTTTATTTCATTTAGATTTGACTTAGTAAATTTTAGAATTTTATTTGTTTTAATTTTAATTTAGTAAACTTTAGAATTTTATTTGATTTTATTTAAGTTAACTTTAGAATTTTAGTTGTTTAGAATTAGTTTAATATTCTTTTAGAATTTTATTTGATTTAGATTTAGTTTAGTAATTTTGGAACTTTTTTGTTTTAGATTACTAACCTTGGAATTTTTATTTAGTTTAGATCTAATTTTCTAATATTAAAATTCTAATTTAGTTTAGATCTAGCGCAGCAATTTTAGAATTATTTTTATAACTTTAGATAACAAATTAGTTTAGAATTATTTTAGTAAGTAATCTTATAATTTTGACTTAGATAATTAGTTCCCTTTTCTTCTATTTAAATATCTTTGTCATTTTAATTTCTCGATGCTTTTGGTCATTAATCTGTTTCATTAGATTTGTTTTCTTGTGAATTTTTGAATGCTTATACTTTGTGGATTCATCTTATTTTACTTGCTCGATTTAATCCAAGGGAATTGTCTAATTTTTTTGTCGACTTCATGTCATCAAAAAACCATCGTGCGAATACCCTCATCTCATTAAAACTTAGGATAATTTTCCCAAATATCCGATTTCTCCAAAACTCACACCTTTTAAGTCAAAACTTCGACGTTAGGTCGTCATATCTTCAAAAATCCGTCCGTACCCCTTTCGGCCAAAACAATTTATTTTTCAATCGAACGAACAATTTTAATAAACAGATATTTCAAAAGGTTCCTATAGAGTACTATAGATACATTGGGTGCTAATACCTTCCCATTGTATAACCAACCCCCGAACCATAGATCTCTTTTCAAAAACGCCTTGTATTTTTGTTACTTTTAAAAGTATTATTTACATTGCATATTTAGGGTTTTATTTCGCTCTTTCCCCTTTTCCCTTGGAAACAATAAAGCGCGGTGGCGACTCTTGCTTTTGTGAGACGAATTAATCAATAATTCGATCTCCGATTTACCCCGCTACATTTTTTATCGCTACAGAATTGGCGACTCTGCTGGGGAAAGATTGACCTCTTGCTGGTCCATCCCTAAGTGGGTTAAGCCTAATTTGTTTTATCTGTTTTATTGTTATTTGATTTGCTTGATTATGTGTTTAAATTAGGGTTATTTGGGTTTTTTGCAAAGGACGAATCCTACACCCGGATTAAGTAACACTTAAGGAATAGGACGGGCGGTATAGTCATGTTAACTTTGAGGGAGTAATCCCGAAGAAGGAGGCATGAGATCCCCCACTCAATGGAAGGCCCTCTTGAACTTAATATTTGTTTACCGAGTAATCAGGAAGACGTTATTATTTTCGACCTAGGAGCCCGAGAAGTTGAGGACCGTAGAACCCTAACCCATCTTGGCCTTTTTAGGTGTAGCGCGGAGACTATAACGGAGTAATTCGGAAGTAGTTGTTACGCGATGCTACGCTCGGACGAGTTTCTCTTGAGAATATTGCTAATTATCGAGTAATCAAGACGTTGGCAATATCCGAAGGAGGAATGTAGACTCCGGGAACTCTTAGAACCTTGTTCTACAGGTGTGATTAAACCCTTAGTACATACCTTGGGGATGTTTTTACCCTTGACTCCATGCTCGTGACGTGGAACCTTTCGACTTTATTTGTGACCTTGCTTGTGGTTGTTGCATAGCCATGCATTCATGCATCCATAAAACCCTTTTCACTGGACTTCGAAGGAATTTTGAGGTCTTTCTTTGTAAACATCACAAGTTTCGTCAAACTCAATGGATCTTGGGTGTTGATAGGGCGAAAACCCTAATCCACCAAAATGGATGATTGATCTTGATGATAACTTGATCAACGTTTGGAGCCAATTTAAAATTCATCTTCTATCTTCATATTTGGATGTTTACAACTTAACATCTTGAGTTCTTTGAAAGTCAAATAAAATTCTCTTTTGCATATCATACATCATTCTGCATTTTCTTTGTTTCACTTTCAAAAGTCTTTTTCCGAGTCTTATTTTTCCTTTGGTCTCACCAGTACAACACTGACGCTAAGAGAACAATGGAGAATATCAAGCAAGAGATTTCTGAACTCCGCAGAGAGGTGATTGTTTTGAAAGCTAGTGTGGAGCACTTAACTGGTTTGGTTGAAATTCTGGTCGCCGCCCAAGTCAATCCTTCTAGGAGGGAGGAAGCAATGATAAAAGTCTTCACCGAAACTCTAAAATCTTTTTCTCATGAAAAGGTGATGGTTAATGCACCTGATGGCTTTCCTGACAAGGTGAATGTGGGAGTGCGTCTAGAAGAAGATGTTGGAAAGGGATGTTTATATGAAGACGGTAGCGCAGCTAATGGTGTGAAGAAGTTTGATAATGACTTTTCCAAGAAGAGAACCAGAAGAAATAATCATCATCAGAATCATCACGTTCATCAACAGAATCAACGAGTTCCTAATCAGAGGAAAACCCAGTTTGATTCAATTCCAATCACCTATACAGAGTTGTTCCCTATCCTGATGCAGAGGAATTTGGTTCAGACCCGACCTCCACCGAAGGCTCCTGAGAAGATACATTGGAACTACAAAGCTGATTTGGCTTGTACTTTTCATCAAGGTGCTCGTGGGCATGACTTGGAGGGTTGCTTCGCTTTGAAGATTGAGGTTCAGAAGTTGGTCCGAGGTGGTATCTTGTCGTTCAAGGACGTTGGTTTTGAAGTTCAAATCAAACAGGCGCCGAAGAGTAAACACGATTGAGGGTGACTTTGAGTTTTTGAAGATGTTTTCGGTAGTTCAAGTGGAAAGCCTTCCCAGATTATTAACTTGTTTATGCTTTTGTAGC